AAGGGTTATGCTGGTTCACAGTGAAAGCCACTGTCTGTGTATATGCAGGTTGTTCCTCCTTTTGCTTTTATACTGCAAAACCAATAGTTTTCTTAACACAGCTTTATTTTTTGTCTTAATATTGTCTTCGTACTCTGGTAGTATGGTGTACTATTCTTATTAAAACTGGTAAGACTGGTAGCTTGTGGGCCTTGCGTTTTTAGTCTAACATTTAACCTTCTGTGAAACACCACAATATTTAGAACACTGTGAGACAAAGTAGTCATCTAATTTCTGGTCCTCCCCTCCCCCCCCCTCCAATAAGTGTGCTGTGATCTAGGAAGGTTTGTAAAAACATAAGCAAAACACCTGGGCTGGTGAATAGTTGCAGCCAATTACGAGTTAAAAGAATGCCTGTGAAGCCTGAAGCTGCACTGCTGGTAACCTGTGCTGTCAGGTTTTGTGGAAGTCTGTGCATAACTGGTAAGCAGTGGCACTTCTCTTCTGGAAGTTTCTGGCAGTCTGTAAAGACTAGTATAACTTGGTTTGGATGTGTCACTTTGGATCCAAAAAAGCTACTTGTGGTGTTTTTGCTATATCTGCTGCTATCAACAGAACTATCCTAGAAAGGAAATGGTTTCATAAGTCATTTTACATATAACCAAACAAGGACTTTCTACTCTTCCTTAACCATATAGTTTATTGTTACTGAGTAGGTCAGAAGCATGTTTTGGTTTTGTGTTTTCTACTTCTGTGTGGAACATTACATTCTTAGAGACATGTAATAAAATTCTATAATAAAAGGTTTTGCATTTTGTGAGTTAATTCTGTTTCTTGATGTTTTTCCATATTAAGAGTTTAAGATATTTGCATGAGGACATCAAATGTGTTTTATCATTCACCATATTTAAGAATCCTAACTTTTATGGGTTTTACTTTATTTTTAATCAATTGAGACTTAGTTACATATGTTTTAAAAATCAAGATGTTCTCATAGTAGATCAATTTATTTTCACAAAATCAGGTTTTATCCCTCCTTATTAATATCTTCAGAACTGCATTGTGCAACTGAAATGTAAATTGAAATCAGAATGCTAGTTTTAGGAAAACTCAAGTTTCATTTGCTTTCAGTGAAAATCCTCAGCGACATTTTAAATTAGTAACAGTTCCTGGCGTAGTTTCTAGAAAATAGGTTTGAAGCGCTGAAACAGGTTTTGACTTCTGTAGCCTTGTGTCCTTAGGTTCAGAGAGCACAGTGAAAACACTTCATTAAGCGCTAGCAAATGAATTGTGACTTTAAAAGGATTAGGAAGTAATTTTCCTGTTTGGAGGTATGACTTCAAATTTGTGGCGTAGTAATGATTGGAGACATACCATAGAAAAGGTTATAACTCGTAGAAAGCCACAACTTTTGTGGTGTGTTAGCTAATTTTGTGAACATAACTATTTAACAACAAGTGAAATTAAAATATCTACATAGTACTTCATATTTTTGCCATGAATTGGAAATCTTGATGGTGGGAAGTATATAATACATATAGGTGTTATGAAATATTTACAGCTTCTTAAATAACAACTCAGTGGCTTACTGCAAAAATGTATGTTAGTTTCTAAATCTGAATGATTTTCACTGTTTGTGTGTGTGAGGGGGGTTGTGTGGTTTGAGTGTTTTGGGTTTTTTTTTAGTAGAATAATATAATATTAGAGTTATTAGAGATTAGAGTTTTTTCTCAACTAATAGCTCTCCTGGAGGAAAAAAAATAATTCATCTCTATTGAATGCTTATGCAGTGCCTGTGAGTCTGAATGTGGTAGTGTCCTGGGTTGAGTGAGTGGTGGAGTTTTTTGGTGGCAGGGGAGGGGGCTATCGGGGCGGCCCCCTGTGAGAAGCTTCTCGAAGCTCCTCCAGCTCCAAGTCAGCTCCACTTCTGTTTGGAAAAACTGAGCCAATCAGCTGCACCTCTGCGATAACATATTTAAGAAGGGACGTGGTGACGAGCAGTGGGACTTGTGAGGAGGAGTTGCTGCAGCTGCATGAACACCAAGGTCAGTGGAGGAACGGAGGAAGAAAGGAGGGGGGACGTGTGCCGGAGCAGAGACCCCCCTGTATCCTGTGGTGAGACGGCAGGGCGGCCCCCCCCTGCCACCCATGGAGATCTACGGTGGAGCAGACATTGATTTATGGCCTGTTGCTCCTGCTCAGCTGATCAAGGTTCTGTGCCCGAAGAAGGCCGGGGTCTTGTGGGAAAAGGCAGCCCTGCTGCTGTAATTCAGCATGGGGAGGATTGCAGCATGCGGGGGAGTCCCACGCCGGAGCAGCTCGGGAAGGGCTGCCGCCGTGGGAGGGAATCCAGTCGGAGGAAGTCGGTGACCCATGATGGAGCAGTGTGGGGAACGCTGCGGCCCATGGGAGGAATTCATGTCGGAGAAAGTTTGTGGAGGACTGTCTCCTGTGAGAGGGGGACCACGATGGAGCAGGAGGAACAAGTTTTGGACACTCACCGAAGATGAAGGAAGTGGCAGGACTGACTGCACCCCCCATTCCCTGCCCCTGCGCCACTGGGGGAGGAGGTAGAGATATTGGGAGCAGAGCTGAGCCGGGGAAGAAGGGAGGGTGGGGGGAAGGTGTTCTCAAGATGTGGCAATGCTTCTCACTGTCCTACTCTGTTATGTGTTGTTAGTGTCTGTAATAAATGTATGTTCCTTTTTTCTTCCCCTAACGAGTCTGCCTTTTGCTCATGATCATAAAAGGGGGATTTTCCCCATCCCAGTCCTATCTCGAACCCCAAGCCTGGCTCTCTGTCCCTTCTCATTGCCGGAGGGGAAGGGAGAGAGCGCTTATGCATTGTGGTTGGCTGCCAACCAGGCCCAAACCACGACAGGTAGTATATCACAGCAGTGCTCTGAATTCAGAGTTTGTTTCATAATCAGTGATGCTTCTGTATTAATGTGTTTTAATCCATAATAAAATAGTTTTGAGCTTAGTAGAAAAAACAGTCCATATGCTCTGTTCTAGTAAATTAGTTAAGTAAGCTATTTGCTTTTTGTCCTGGTTGTGGCTGTGATAATTTTCTCCCTAGTAGCTGGTACAGTGCTGTGTTTTGGATTCAGCATGAGAAAATGTTGATAACACTGGTGTTCTAGTTGTTGCTAAGTAGTGCTTATCCTGAGCTAAGGACTTTTCAGTTTCCCATGCACTGCCAGCAAAGAAGCGCACAAGAGGCTGGGAGGAAACATGGCCAGGACAGCTGACCTGAACTGGCACAAAGGGATATTCCACACCATAGGCAGTCATGCTCAGGATAGAAACTGGGGGGAGTTAGCTGGGAGGTGCCAGCTGCAGTTGGGGGACTGGCTGGGAATCAGTCAGTGGATGGTGAGCAGTTGTATTGTGCATTGCCTGTCTTTCTTGGGTTTTCTTTGTTTCTTTTATTACTTTTCATTACAATTACTGTTGTTATTATTGTTATTCTCTTCTCAACACAGAAGTTTTACTCTTTTTCCAGATTCTCCCGCCTGTCTCACTGGGAGGAGGGAGGAGTGAGCAAGTGTCTGCATGGTGCTTAACTGCTGGCTGGAGTTAAACCACAACACTTCCTATTGCATCTTCAAGTGTTTTTTAAAAGTTGGTTATTGGTGCTTTGGTATTGTTCAGCATTGTTGTGTATACACTGGTAGATTTCAAGAAGATATGAAATGTGGGAAAAATTAATACGTTCTTGTAAATTAATTTTAAACTTTAATTTCACAAATTCTTGACTCTGAATGTCAGTGTTAGCACTTCCAAAAATAGTACGAATCGTTCTAAAAACTGCAAATCACTGAATGCTTGTCTCTCTAGTGCTGTTTATTCTTAGGACTACTCCTCTGTGTTGCTGTAATTTTCCTAGAAGTTAATGGGTGTGATTCATGGGAGAATTGACAAGTGTTGTTAGATGTAGATGCATTTTTCTGCATAACAATTTTACCATACCTTAAGGCCTGTCCTTTTATGTTCCCTTTCTCAGTAAGGCAGGAGCATGAGGTACACCCTTTTTTCCTTTCAGCTGGGTCACTAGTTAGAGACATTCCTTTGTTTTTAACCACTGTATGAAAATTGACAGCAAGTGCCAAAACTGAAGTAAAAGAGGTAAGACCAGCACTGATTAACAGATTACAGAAAACGGGATTGCAGCAATGACATTTCTTAAGGAAATGAGGCCAAAAGTATGATCTGACCTCACTTGTCTTAGTTGTGTGCAGCACTGAAGTAACGGATTAATCTGGATAAATGTTTCTTGTGCAAAAATATTAGTCTGAAATAAATTAATTTGCACTTCAAATTCTCAGGTGATCACAAGTTTCTGTAATTAAATCCTGAAAAGGACTTTAAAAAGTTATCCTCACTTACCTCCCTTATCTAGAGGAATGTGGTGACTGAATGTTTTAGGAATCTGATGAGTTTAGGTGTAGAGAATTGCCAGAAACTTCTGCAAATCCTCTGAATTGATGACTTCCTCAACAAATTGGTGTCTTGAGCAGTCATTGCAGTGGAATCAGTGTCTTTGATACCTTTTGTGTTGGAATTTTTCAACATAGTTTTTTTTTTTTAATTTTATGAAACAAAGTTGTGCTGCTACATGGGTATGAGAGTGTTTTATTTCTAATAAAAGGGAGTAGTTGATTTGTGCTACCACTGGTGAAGGTAGTACAGTTTCTTCTGACATAGTAGTCCCTGTACTAAGCTCAGTGGTTTTTAAGCTTTCCTTTCTATATATAGTTGACTTTGATATCGAACTTGCCTGTGAATATGAAGGGAAAGCAGCAGGCCTAGTGTTTGTTTTGCTGTATAAGTTCTTGCCTGTATTCCCTCTTTTTGCTGAATGTTTTGAGAGTAACAGAATATGAAGGAGCTTCCTGTTGAGTATGAAAACAAGCATTAAATTGAAACAAAATATTTTTGACTTAACAAAGCCCAGTTAATGCTTATGGTAACCAAGTCTTAGATCAAACTATTTATACTTTACCTGTTTTGTTTTTCAGAGTACTGTAATTGAAAGTGCATCTTCTGCATTTGAGGAAGGACACATTCATGGTTGAATGGTGGATTAATAAGTAGCTGTCCTATTCCAAGAGGAAGAAGATATCCTGGTTGTTGGGAAGAACTGGATTTTCACCCTAGTCCAGCAGCTTTGCTGCTCACTTAAACACAGATGAATGAAGACCCCATTTGGAAAATCACCAGGTCAGCGGTCCAGAGCTGATGCAGGTGAGGTGTTTTTCTGTGTGGTTTTGTTTGGTTTTAGTGGGTAAGAAGTATTCTTACTTTATAGGGGGATGCATGGATGGATGGATGGATGGATGGATGGATGGATGGATGGATGGATGGATGGATAGATAGGTAGATAGATAGATAGATAGATTATAGATAGATAGATGGATGGATGTTAATGGTTTAATGAAGTTACCATTCCTGTCTTAAAAGAACATTTCCTTTTGTTATAGAAGCTGGTGAACTGAAAAGACATACATAAATTTATTTTAGCTGTATAGGCATATATATAACAAGTGCTTAAAAATGTAGTCCATAATACCGAAGTTTTGTTAAAAACTGTAGGTTATATAAAATTCTAAAAAGGAACAAAATCAGTGTTGTAGGATTACACTGACATATTAAGGGAAGAATTGCTCTTTTTCATCTCAAAGTGGTGGAACATAAACAGAAATGTATTCACTGTATGTTTACAATTTAGACTAAAACTCTTCATGGTTTTCTAGAAGCTGATCAGCTAGTAATTTTAAAAGGATCTCTTGAAAACAGTACAAAAATGCAAATACTGTTGCTATTGTGTGTGCTCTCTAAACTGAAGTAGGTTAGTCAAAGTATTTTAAAGCAATTTTTTGTTCAGAGAAATACAAAATATAAGTAAGTGTTCATCCTCTTATGACTAGTTAGGCTTATTCAAAGTTTTGCAGCTTGAAAGACTAGTTAATCTCAGTCAGTCTTGTGTGCTCTGTAGTAAGGTGTATCAGCAATGATGCAAAAAAAAGCATCAAGTGACCGGTGAGGAGTTGTTCTGTAGGTTGGTACTTGATCCTGTATAAATTAAGCTAGACTGTGCTTCGGCTGTGCATTCTGCCTCAGCTAGTATGGCACAGAGACTAGAAGTTATCATTTGCAAGTTAGAAATTCAGCAGACCAGCAGCTTGAGAACAAAAAGGTTACAGATGAATGTTGTTCATTCTTCTGTTCAATTACTTGCTTTTTAATTGAATTTACAGAAAAGCAGAAGTCACTAGTTGGTGACCTGTGTGAGTAAAGACTTTGTAGACACATGATGTAGCATATTTTCTGTCACCAACCATTGTGAATTGGTGCTTTTCTAAAAAAACTCAAGAAACTAAGCAGTTGTCATGTGTAATTGGGAAAGCTCAGTTTACTTTGAAAATACCCAAGCAATAGTCCATTCCGGTGCTTTCAAATACTTACCCAATTCATTGAGAACTGAAGTAACTGATACCGGAAAATTTCTCTGAAACCCTTTGGAAATTTTCAAAAGTGTGTTTACCTGTGATTAGCTTACATGAATGTTGATTTGCTATTACTCATTTGAAACACCTACTGATGGTAAAGGTAACTTCAGCAAATCTTTTAAATAAATGTTTTCAAAAAAGCAAGAGACCCAGTACAAAGAGGTACAAAGACTTACTGGTTCGGTGAGTTTTCATTCCATCAACTGATGAGTCATCCTTCCTCTTGACTCTAGCAGAATACGTGTGAGAGTAGAAGTGTATTTGTAAGAGAAGAGAGAGGTGAGCAGGCTTTGACCTGGTGCTTAAAATGTGAACATGTTGACTTCTAAGCATTAACCAGGCATGAGAATTCAGATACTAGGTTTTTAAGGCAACTGTTTGAAGTTGTTAAATAAAATTCTGCTAAGTGACATGCAATGAGAAACAAAACTACAGCACAGATTTGAAGTGTCATACTGCGAAACTTACGTAGAGGGTAATTGTGTGGGGCTGGATTTTGTTTTGAAAACCCAAAAAAGTTAAGCTAGGACATTTGACTTAAGTATGTTGAGAAGAAAACTTGGCTTTCTGTTTATTCTTTTGGCTCTTTTTTTTTTTTCTTTTTTTTTCTTTTTTTTTTAAAGGGAATTCTTAGACTTATTTTAAGCGTCACATTTTCTATTACTCATTCATTATAGTTTGTCCTATAACTGACACCATGCCAAATTGTCATTCAAATTGATAGATTTATTTAGATGTCATTTTTGCTTTTAATATCTCTATACATAAACAGTTACAATTTGTCTTTTTGAAGGTTTTTAATCTTAACTGAGAAGTCCTTAACTTACATTCATTTGATTTATGTAGTATCACTGTCATTTGAATACAAACAGAAATCATACACACTTGGTCTGCCTCAATTCTTGGCATAGTTTTGGTGTAGTCTTGGGTGTTGCCAGCTTTCAGCCTCTGGCTGTTATATTCTTGAGGAAGATAGCTGCTGACCTCCTTGCTTTTGTTGCTCCTCTTCCTGATCAGATTTGATGATGGCCTGAGGCTAGATAGCTTTTACTGCTTGAGGGGAGGGGGAGGAAGGGTGTATGGAATGATCATCTCTTTATTTCTTGATTGTGGGTATGCATTAGGAAAGAGTTCAGCAGGCAGCTGTCATTACGAGACTGCATAGCCCGCTCTTCAATGAAGACTGAGCATGGGACTTTTAAAGGCAGCTACTGAGCAAGACAGAACACTTGTGTGTCACAGCAGTAGTTTCACTGGTAGTGGTCAAATTCTTCCTTTGAAAAGAACAGCAAATAAAGTAATTGAGCTTATCAGTTTATAAAATTATGATTTTGATGGCTGGAAGAAAGTCCTTGCAATGTGATATAAACTAATATTATAGTGCATTAGTTGTTTGGGGATTTTTTTTATTTTTTAAATAATGTCTCTAAGAGGGAAAGCTATCAAAAATGCAACCAGGTTAAGTGACAGAGTGGTTTAAGTCATAGCTCTCCCTCTTTTTAGAAGGAGAATTCGGTTACAAACAGGTAGAGAGATTTCCTGAGTTCTATTTAAAAGTTTCTTCGCTAGCGAAGAGTAACTTCTAGTCTTGCAGTTGTGACAATGTGCTATGTGTTAGGACTAACTACATGTCAGCGATCCTTCTGACCTTTTATAGATTTTTAAAGTGGTTATGGTGATGTTTTTGGTTGGGTTTGGTTTTGTTTTGGATTTGTTGGCATTACTTGTGGGGGTGGGAATGTTAAGGATTTACCCTAGTTAAGCGATTATTGAACTTGACAGTTACTTTATTTGAAATAATTAGTAACAACAGTAACAATGGTGGTAGCTGACATTTGTTACCTACATAATTGGAGAGATACAGGTTGGCTGGATGGCTGCACCTAAAGAGTTAGCCAACAGCTCAATATGCAACTAGAAACCAGTAACGAGTGGTGACCCTCACAGGTCTGTGCTTAGTAACTTCATCAGTGACATAGGTAGTGAGATTGAGTGCACCCTCAGCAGCAAGCTTGCAGATGTCACCAAGCTGAGAGGTGCAGTTGATTCACTAGAGGGAAAGGATGTCTGTCATCTGGAGGGACCTTGGCAGTCCTGAGAAGTGGGACCAAGAAAATCACATGAAGTTCAACAAGGCCAAGCGCAAGGTCTTTCACCTGGGTTGGGCAATCGTCAATATCAATACAGACAGGGAGACGGAATGGATGGAGAGCAGCCCTGCAGAGGACTTGGGGGTGTACTGGTGGATGAAAAATCAGACATAAGCCTGCAACGTGCGCTCTCAGCCCAAAAAGCTGCTTGTATTCTGGGCTGCATCAAGAGAAGTGTGACCAGCAGGTCAAGGGAGGTGATTCTGCCCCTCTACTCTTCTCTCATGAGATCCCACCTACAATACTGTGTCTAGCTTTGGGGCCTCCAACATAAGAAGGACATGGACCTGTTGGAGCAGGTCCAGAGGACACTGCAGACATGATCAGGGGCTGGAGCACCTCCCTTTTGAGGATAGGCTGAGAGAGTTGGGGTTGTTCAGCCTGGAGAAGAGGAGGCTCTGGGCAGACTAAATTGCAACCTTTCAGTTTATAAGGGGGACTTACAAGAAAGATAGAGAGAGGCTGTTGTGGTTTAATCCCAGCTGGCAGCTAAGTCCCACTCAGCCACTTGCTGGCTCCTCTCCCCAGTGGGACGGAGGAGGTAATCAGAAGAGTAAAAGTGAGAAAACTTGTGGGTTGAGAGAAAAAACGTTGAATAGGTAAAGCAAAAGCCACACACAGAAGCAAAGTAAAATGAGTTCATTCACCAGTTCACACCGGCAGGTGCTCAGCCAACTCTAGGAAAGCAGGGCTCCATCATGTTTAACAGTTACTTCGGAAGACAAACGCCATCACTTTGAATGTCCCCCCTTCCTCCCTTTTCCTCTGTGCTTATACGATAAGCATGACCTCCTACAATATGGAATATCCCTTTGGTCAGCTGGGGTCAGTTGTCCCAGCTGTGTGTCCCTCCTCCAGCTTCTTGTGCACCTTCAACCTACTTGCTGGTGGGACGGTGTGAGGAGCAGAAGAGGCCCTGATGCTGTGCAAGCATTGTTCCACAGTAGCTAAAACATCAGTATGCTACCAACACTGTTCTCAGCACAAATCCAGAACATAGCCCCCTGTCGTGGTTTGAGCCTACTCAGCAGCTAAATGCCCCTCAGTCGCTCACCCACCCTCCCCCACTTGGGAATGGGGAGGGAATCGGAGGGGCAAAGGGAGACTCACGGGTTGAGATAAAAACAGTTTAATAACAGTAACAGAACAATACGCTGACAGCAATATCAGCAGGTAATGTGCCATACAGCTGCTCACCACCCACCGACCAACACCTGCCTGCTCCCGGCCGGCGATCCCAAACACAAAGGCCCCACGGCCACACTCCTGGAAGTGGCAGCCCCTCACGGCCCTCTCCTGCCTTTATATAGTGAGCACAATGTGACGTGACATGGAATATCAGGCAGTCCGGGCCCAGCCCTCCAGCTGTGCTCCCCCCGCCCCCCACACGCCTGCACACAGTCAGGGCACACGGAACTGGAGAGTCCCTGAAATCTCAGTGTGCGTCAGCACTTCTCCAGCTACCAAAATGAACATGAACTCTATTCCAGACCGAACCAGGACACCCCCATACTAACTACTGTGAACAAATTTAACTCTATCCCAGCCAAAATCAGAACAGAGGCTTTTTACCAAGGCCTGTAGT